TTGCTGAGCCTCTCTATGGACGACTTCTGAGCCTTAGCCATAGCCTTTCTGAGGTACAGTCATTTTCTTCTCGAGATGCAGCATTGAGCTTCTCTACTTCATATGTGTCAACCTCTTGCTGGCCTCCAAGACCGCCGCTTCCTCCCCTCCATACCTCGGACACGACAACCTTCTATCGCTGGCTGTATTCCGCTCAATGGAGATACACCTGCACATTTGATGTAGCATCCCGACAACAATGGAATGTGATATCGATGAAAACAATAACCGATAAGTTATTGGCTATTGTTATTGTTGTTATCATTGTTCTGGCATGTTATCAATAATATCAACAATAATAACCAATACAGTGATACCTCGAGCAGAGACCCATAGATGGGTTTGAACTGCCAGTCGGCCGTGGCCTATTGCCGCAACGGGTACACAACTGGTGTACTTCAGCGCGACTCACTGGCCTCCAGAATTGTCCAGGGGGTGGATCTAACGAGAAGGGAATACCTCATCTATAGACGACACAATGCGACCTACCCTCCCGGCCAGTGGTCCCCGGTATGCGCCCCCAACGCCGACGTTTGAGCTTCTCATTGATGATACGAGCAACGTTCAGAACGTGCATGAGGAGGCCCAACATGATTCTATCGTCAAAGTCTTCATGACGTACCTCGTCGCTGGAAGCCTGTCAAAAAGATACAACTCCACTTAGAAGTAGCTCCACCGTTTTTGTTGCATACTAAACGTACAAAGAGATTTGCCTATGAGACTCTCAATGCACTAGAACAACTCTGTTCACTTCCGACTATGCAAGTGATCTATTGTCAATTCCACGGATTCAGTGTATACCACATGATGAGAGCTCACCTCTGGCAAAGTCATGGCACCTTTCAAACGAAGCTCCGTATCACGGCAAGGATGTCGGAGTGGGTGAGCGTGAACATCACAGAACATACCTACACCAGGCATCGGGCAGTATATCGATAATCTATCTCACCACTGCATTTGCATGGTGTAGTGGAGGTCAACAGTGGCTTCATACACCCAGGATACATACATGCAAAGTGCTGTACGATCTCCTTGACATTGAATGCCTTATCCAAATACATTTTGGCCGCTAGCAGGTACCCTCGCTCACACAACACCTGTAGACACTTCACAAGGGCCATAGTCCCTTCAACTGACCTTAGCCCGCTTCAGCCTGCCCCAACGCCTCACTAAGAGGTAGCATGGTAGCCGAGCCTTCTCAAAGTTAGTCCCTAGTGATGACACGAAGTCGTCTATGGTCCGAGACCGGCCACGACTATGCCGTCCGGGTGCATGGTCGCCAGCCGCTGGGATGAATCTAAGAGCGCTGCAACTCCCACTGGTCCCCCACCACTCGACAAGCACTTACCGACAATTATCGACTTCATCATACAGCATAAACATCATGCCGCGCATCCTTCTCGTGAGCCGATCCCCTACCAAAAAGGCGGTCACAAGAGCAGACCTCCAACAGCCTTACCGCGGCGTTTGGCGACCATCACGTC